AAGACTTAAGGTGGAGAGAAAGAGCCAAATTACAAAGGCATCAGATCAGAATACGTACGATTTATAAAGGGCTGTCGTTAAAAACGAGAAAACAGCGATGATCTAGTAAATCATGGTTGCAGGTTCTGTAGCAGCCCTCATGAGGACGGCCACGGAGTTCAGCAGGGAATGATGTGATGGCATCATGAGGAACAGGCGCTTTGTCACATCTCCATAATATAGAAAATAGGAAAAAACACAGCCGCTCGTAAGCTCGCTCGAGCAAATTTTAGCCGACTTGCCAAGATGCCACACCTAGGTAGGATCAATCTCCCTAACCACATTGCACCAATACCAAGCAGCTGTTATATCATTAATGCTTTATATCATCTCTTGTGCCGAGAGTTGTTGCAATTCCCTTGCTTGTTTGTTGATTTTTTTGGCGACTTTACCTGAATTTTTTTCCATTTCATTAAATTCGGAAAATAATTTTCCATAAGCAAGGTCGTTATTTAATCGCATTGACGCCGCAACGAACTTTTCTCCTAATTCGACATCCCATTGCTCGTTCAGTGTTTTGTAACGACTTGGCATCGGCGTCACTTCACCAAAATATATTTTCCCATTATTTACCAGAAAATCTACTCGGGCGAAAGGGGCCGGGATTGAAAGACTTATTTTTTTCGCGAGCTCTTCCACCTCAGCATAATTGCCATCGCCGGAGAAAAGGATTTTATCATATTTCCCAGTTTTCACGTGATTACCATCAGAGTCGTACCAGCAACGTCTAATACGTGGAGAGCGCTGAGTCTCCAAAACTAGTCCAACTTCACCATAAAACATGTAAAATTTTATATCACGTGCAATATTCGATGATGTGGATAAAAGCTCCTCGCATAACCAGCTATCACGGCGAATAAGTTTTTTATCCAAAAGCCCCTTTGCATATTTCTTGGCATCCTCAGGAGACGTATATATCCGATTCTTATTCAGATATCTGATAGTCCCATCATATTCAGTTACAAATACTCCTCGAGCACTGCTCTCTCGAAGGGGCTTTACTACAGTGCCTGGTTTAAATTCAACCTCTTCTAACGGTATGCCCAATCCATATATGGTTGGTACATTAAGCCCCATAGTGTGCGCAAACTCATGCGCAAGAATTTTTGAATCCAGTAGAAATGTGGGAAGATGACGACCTTTCTTCCTCAGTTCTACATCTACTGTATACATAGTGTAAAGGGCTTGGCTAAAAGAAAGGGTCCTGCTCTGCTTATCGGTTTGCGCTGCTGAGTTGGCTTTTGCTATATTAGCTGACATTCTTACTCTCCATATAGATACATTCTAATATTCATTTACCTGAATTTATCTAAATTTCTTGCTTATTTTATCAGCCATATCTGTATAGTATGACTTTTCATAATGAGCTTGTCCCAGCCCCCCATTTATGATTTTCATCGGCTATATACTCTTTTTCCTGAGATATGACATGACATCTTGGAACATATTCTTTAAATACTTTATTCCAATAACTAAATTTATCATTTTGCCTTTTAGTCTTAACCTTGTCAAATTCTTTAATTTGACCATCCTTTGCGGTATATCTTTCACACATATAATTTTCGAGCAATATTATTCTATCCTGCGGATAAATTTCATTTATTTATACTAGAAAAATATTTTAAACCCGCACGCACAATTCCTGTTCCGTTCTGATTATAACGCACAAATGAAGTAAAGCTATCCTCACCAACAATTGCGGACTTATTTTTCTTGAATGGCCGCGAATTAGTGCAGCTAGTGAGCTGCCCATGTTTATTTTCATAGTATAAAATACCATAGCGAATGGTATTCAAGTTTAAAAGAAGATAATCACCTTTCCCCGATGCCATCACTTCTTTGAAATTTCCATTCAAGTCATGCATTAGATTTCGCTGATACCAAGGACTACCCCATATAAGATCCGATGACTCCGTGGTATTATTTTTGGGTGATATAAAAGACAATGGTGATATAAAAGATACAAAGGATGATCTATCAAAATTTAATCCACCCAGTTCATTTATATCCCTAGTTGTACAAGTACCCCAAAATGAGAAACTAGCCATAGTATAACCCCAAAATCTATTAATAAAAGAAACCTGTTCTCACAGAATAAATAGCCTTCACTACCAGCATGGATTAACTAATATGTATTCAAATTAAACAATATTAAAAGCATATATCTGTTAGCCTATAGGAATTCAATGCTGTCCTTCCGCACTGTCACCCTACGGGGCTCCATAGTCTTTAAAAGGCGGCTATACTTATCCAAATAGTCCAAGCATTCTTCAGGATTAGTCGTGTCAACCTCTTTCATCCAAGAGGGATCATAATTCCACCATCGCAATCGGAGGAATCTTTCAGCAATATTTTCAGGGAACCGCTGAGAAACGACTTTCGCTGGTACACCTGCAACAATTGAATATGGGGGAACGTCTTTTGTTACTACTGAACGGGCAGCTACAATGGCGCCATCACCAATAGAAACTCCCCCTTTTACGAATACGTCCCTGCCAATCCAGACATCATTTCCAATTTTCGTAGGCGATACGCTCAACTTATGCCCTGAGGGGGGCACCTTATAAAAGCCTTTCTGATCGTCAGTGTTCCATTCATAGTCCTTCAAAAAAATAGAGGATATACCAAGGTCCGTTGTTGGATGCTCAGGCGGGCTGCATACAAAATTTTGACCTATGGATGTGAATCTCCCTATTCTACAGTTCCCTAGTGCTCCCCCAGCCCTTATGATCGTAAAACTGCCTAAGTACCTGACTCCGGCTAAGGAGCAAGAAGAAAAGCATTGCGCTTCAAAGGTTGTCTCAGCCCTCAAGCCTATCTTCTTATGTAACCACTTTCCTTCAGTATGTATCAGTAACTTAGCTCTTATTTCGTCCCAAAAGTCTTTTTCCACAATCATTGATATTTTCCCACATAAACGTCAAGCCTGAACATTGCTTTTATATTGACTATTGATTGAAATGCCAAATATATCTAAAGGGTAAACTGAACGCCTTCCTTTTCAATATCTGATTTTAAGTCGTATTCAAATATATGCTCGAATAAAATTTCGATCACTTCCAAAACAAGCCTTAAATGGGAAAAATTATTTTGACTAAAATTTAATTCATACTTATTGTCAAACATATAGTAACACAACATTACTATGCTTAGTTTGTTTTTTACTGCCTCTTTGAATTTATTTTTACTCAAATTGACCATAAGTAATGACAATGCATTATTAAATGAAGCAACTAAAACATGCTGATTTTTAACGTCTACATCGTTTTTCAACTCTAATGACTTAGCGCGCACATTTTCAACATATGAATCTAATTTTGATTGCCCGGCTAAATATGCGAGAAGCACAAATCTATCTTTGCTATTAACCTCATTAATATCTTTAGATTGGTTTACGAAAACTTCATTTACTTTCTTATTGAGATTATATGCAGAATACCTTTTTTCAATTGCCTGTTTAAGATGATTTTTATAATCGGTCTTGGAAAAATTTTCTCTCACATACTCTGCCTCGATGGAATCGATAAAGTCGACAATCCCATTACCGCGTGCATGCGACCTGTTTTCCCCATTGGTAGCGGCAAGAGCATTCCCAGCTGACAGCCGGAATACCCCAGATGATTCTACTACAGAGCCAAAATCCGGTGATTTGGTAAATTGTAGCCGTCTCCAAGGATAAAGATTGATTTTTTCATCCCAAACACCATGAAATCCAATGCGCTTGAATAGCTCTACCTTGGGCTGGTTACCGTACACTCGTTCTTCGTTAAATATCTCAAGGGAGTCTTGTCGGAAAGAAATCTGCGGTTCTTCAACCGCGTTGGTGATAGCACTGGATCTATCTATGAGTTGATCGGTCACTCGCTCCATGGGAGTAAGTACATATTTAGCGTCTTTATTACCGGAAAATGTATCATTCAACAGTTTAAAGGAATCGTCTGATAGGAAACAGTTGCCATCCCAAGGCATTGTCCAATCATATCGTGCTTTCCCATGCAGAAGCGCAAAGTTACGGGCACCGTTATTATTCATTAAATAAGCATTTTTGAAATTGCGCACCGCCGTGTTTCTAACGATGTTTACCCATTTGCCTGTTTTTCTAAACCAAAAGTAGCTATCTGGAAGACTAGCGAGATCGTAACCGCACTGCTTAAACTCCTCAATATTGAAAGGAATTTCATGGTAAGTCGCTCCTTGCGATTCCAGATAGCTAATCAACAGCTTGCGTTCTTTTGGATCTACGATGCGATTGAGTACGTAGTGCTTATCGACATTTTGGGGAGTAGTTTCGTTCTCAACGATATGAGCTAGATTGGTGTTGGCCTGGGCTTCATTATGCAATCCTGGGATTGCGTTACCCACTATTCGGTATAACCCGACTTGTGGCTCTTCATTTTCTAAAGATACCCCTTTTGCTTTATCAACCATCCTTTTAAGTTGATTCAAGGCAATAACTTTCTTATTCTCGTACTGAGTAGCCAATTCAGGAGGAATACGTGTCGCCGCCCACGTCAATATATGGGTGATGAACGCATTCCACACTGGCAGGATGGCGCTGAAATTCTTGTAATGCTCTATTTGATGCTGTGTGTAGCGATGTGCCTCAAAAACCATCATCCGGCGAGCATCGACAATGTTAGTTATTTGACTGCGCGTTTCAAATTTACGGTGATCACATACGAACCCGTCAAAAAGACCTATATTACTTGCTGCAATAATACTATGCCAATGGTAAGGAATATCATTATGAACAACGGTTTTGCCGAAGAAAATATTTTCATCGTGTAATAGTTTTGTTTTTATTATGCGAATCCAAGGATAATTTATTAATTCCGAAGCAAGGACCTGCCGCTCCTCATTATTAGAGGCCCGCAACATTTTATCCCATATCTTCTTATCGGAGTTAAACAGGTTTTTATATTCATTTTTATCGTAAAAATGAATACGATACTTAAATAGTACTAGATCATGCTCCCCTTGATACCGAACTTCACACTATCGGCCAGAGCATCTATATTAATAGTGTCATCCGAGTCCAAAAAGTAAGTATATTTACCTGTCGCCAATGGAATTAGCGCGTTTCGCGCCACCCCTGCCCCTTTATTTTTCTGCGAGAAGAGGAGGAAATTTGAGTATTTTTCAGCGTAATCTTGACAAATTTCAAACGACTTATCCGTAGAGCCATCGTCCATCATTAGCACCTCGTATGAGATGCCCGTGATGCCTAGTAAGCTTCTGAGCGTTTGATCGATAAGATCTTCGCACTCATATATGGGTATGATGATGGTAAGATCAATATCTTTTCTTGCTCCATTATACTCTTTTATTTTTTTAGCTATATCGAAACGAGACTTTCCGATCTGAGCAGCCGTTTGGCCCGAGGCAGTTAATACCTCTTGCAATAATTGAGAATTCCGTTTTTTAATATATTGGAAATTCTAATATTATTTCTTTCCGGATAACCCAGTCGTAATTCGCTGACTTGTTGACTAATTGTTTCCATATATCGGGTGCCACATTGCCTTGCTGAACAAAATACTTTTTCACTGTGTTCATATGGCAGAACATGGCGGACATTTTGTAATTGTCGGAACCCATCGTTTGCCCAACACGCTCCATACGATGGAGAGCAACTACATAGTCTAGCATGACAACGGACGATGCTTGCGAGAGCACCATCCAGTGAAGGGGGTTATCTTCGTAAAAATAATCGCCTTCCGGGTAGCGGATGTTATGTTCGTTCAAGAAAGACTGTTTGTACAGCTTCCTCCAGGGCACCGGAGAAACATCAAAGACACCGGGCACATCCACGGGATTAAATGCCTGGCCGATAGGCAATTCTTCCCATTTTTGTTTATCGTAAGCGGTTTCTTCATACGAGTGTCATCATTGAAAAGGACGAAATTAGCAATAACGATCTCGGCGGATTGCGCCAGCGCCGTTTCAACCATTTTCTCAATGGCAAGCCGGTCAAGAATATCATCACTATCCGCAAATGCGATGTACTCCCCTAAAGCGGCATCAATGCCCACATTACTGGGAATGCCAGCGCCACCCAGCGTATTAAATTCCAAGTTGATCACTTTAATTCGATCATCTTGGTCTTCATACATTCTAATTATGTTTATACTATTATCCGTTGATGCATCGTTTACAATAATCAGCTCTATATTCTCATAGCTCTGATTCAGCACCGACATAATACTTGCATCCAGATACGGCGCTACGTTGAAAACAGGCATCACCACCGATACAAGAGGTTGTTTGGCTGGCCCCTGCAATACGCCTGAGACGGATTTCGTGACACTCACAGGGCTAGCTGCGCTCGGCGACTGGCTATCAGTATGATCTTTGCGCCGCATTTCCGCTAATCGTATATTTATTTGGGCTAGCTTATACAGTGGTTCGCTGGGCTGTATTTTTCTATATTCTTCGATGGCTTCACTGTATAGCCCTTTCTTTAAAAGTTCGTTGCCCTGTTTTATTGACATACCAATTACTACCTTAGTTGAATTTAACCAAATGCGCGCGCATATTATTTAGAGTTTAGATGGGGTTAATATTTATTATTATGCGTTATCATCTTCCACTCCTTTGCGTTCTTATCCTTTTCAGACAAAATTAATGGACTTTCGCCTGATAGGGGCCATATTATTCCAATGTCTTCGTCGTTCCACGCGATAGCGTATTGATCATCAGGAACATAGTATTCTGTGCATTTATACTGGAATTCAGCATACTCACTTATCACGTAAAAGCCGTGAGCAAACCCCGGGGGCACCCATAGCATTTGTTTATTTTGGTCATCCAGCGTTCTTCCTACCCAATGACCATAGGTATCGCTGTTCACTCTTAGATCAACTGCAACATCAAATACCGTTCCCTTTGTCACACGCACCAGCTTGCCTTGCGGATATTTCAATTGGTAGTGAAGGCCTCTTAGCACGCCTTGGGAAGATGCACTATGATTGTCTTGCACGAAATGATAACAACCGCAGTGTTTCTCGAATTCGTTTTGGCGAAAGGACTCAAAGAAAAATCCTCGCTCATCTTCGAAGAGCTTGGGCGTGATTAGCACTACATCGGGAATGGTAAGCGCTTCATATTGCATGACTATCCAGTTTCTTGGTTAATAGGTAAGCAGGGAGGAGAGGTAGCGACCATAGCCGGTCTTGCAAAGCTGATGGGCCCGGTCGAAAAGCTCTTGGTCCGAAATCCATCCTTTGCGCCAGGCAATCTCTTCCAAACATGCAAGTTTTAGGCCCTGCTGCTTTTCAACGGTCTGAACATATTGACCTGCTTCTAACAAACTATCGTGAGTACCGGTATCGAGCCATACAAACCCACGTCCGAGCTTCTCAACTTCCAGCGCATCCTGCTCCAGGTAGGCGCTATTGATTGGCGTAATCTCAAGCTCGCCTCGTTCGGACGGTCGCACCTCTTTCGCTATCTCAATGACTCTATTGTCGTAAAAGTAAAGTCCGGTTACGGCATAGTTTGAGCGAGGTCTTGAGGGTTTTTCCTGTACCGAAACGGCCTCTCCAGCGCTATCCAGTTCGACAATACCAAAGCGCTCCGGATCATTTACCGGGTAGCCAAAGACCGTTGCTCCGGCTTCTTTTTCATTCGCCTTGAGTAGCTTTTCAGAAAAGTGCTGACCGTGAAAAATATTGTCGCCTAACACAAGGCACACGTCGTCGTTGCCGATAAATCCGGCACCCAAAATAAATGCTTGCGCGAGCCCCTCCGGCGATGCTTGCACCATGTATTCAAAACGTACGCCGAACGTCCGACCATCACCAAGAAGTTTTTGGAATAAGAGCTGGTCAGAACTAGTACATATAATTAATATTTCTTTAATACCCGCCAACATGAGTACTGAAATAGGGTAATAGATCATCGGCTTGTCATACACCGGTAACAGCTGTTTGGTCACCGCGAACGTGAGAGGGTACAGCCGTGTACCTGTACCACCGGCTAATACAATTCCTTTGCGTGCCACTAGAATTACTCCTACTCAGACAACCGTGCGTCTGTGTAAAGTCCAATGCATTGCAACATCATGTTCAACATTGGATGAGTGCGGCTCATTGATATTTTCTACCGCAATGAAAAGTCTTCAAAGCTAACGGTCAAATTGGGATTATATGCTGGGTCGTGGAGCAGTTGTTTGCCCCAGCGCGAGCGAAAATAGTCGACCTCGCTCTTGGCTCTTGCTTTCTTGGCTGGGCTATCATCCACTCCACGCGACACGGATTCATGATGATATAGCTCAGCGAAGGGTGTCCATAGGTTACGATAACCGAGCTCCCTGACCTTCAAGCATAAATCCACGTCGTTATACGCCACCGGCAAGTGTTCTTCTTCCAGACCACCTACCTTCTCGAATAACTCTCGTCGCAGCAACAGACACGCCGCCGTTACCGCAGAAAGATTCTGAACCTGATGCAGGCGATTTTGAAACCCTCCCTCTTCGCGAGCGAAAAATCGGTGCGCATGTCCAGCAACCCCGCCCAGGCCGAGAATAACACCGGCGTGCTGAAGCGTATCATCCGGGTAATAGAGCTTGGCACCCACACAGCCGATACCCGGCCTGATCGAGTGGCTGACCATTTCGGTTAACCAATCACTGTTAATCGGCTCGATGTCATTGTTAACCAGCCCGATGATATCGCCATTACAATGCTTAGCCCCGAAGTTATTGATCGCCGAATAATTAAATGGGTGATTCCAATGCAATACTCGTACGCGTTTATCACGCTGAATATCGGCGAAATATGTAAGCGTTTCGAGGGCCGTTGACTGATTATCGAGAATAACAATCTCGTAATTAGGATAATCCGTGAGTTCCAAAATACGATTCACACAGGGTTTCAGCATGTGAATCATATCTCGAGTCGGGATGAGCAAGCTTACGAAAGGTAACGTTTCAGGCAGCTTCCATTGAACGCGGCATCCTATTCCCTTGTACTCGGACGCCACTGCATTAATACCTTTTCCCTCCAGGAATTGCCTGACGGCCGGGAAGCTGTATCCAGGCCCGTTGGGGGTTAGCTCTGATGTTTGATTGGCTTCGCAATAGCGGTGGTGCAATACCACGTACGCAACATGCTGAATCTCGTCGGTAGTTAGCGTCTCCGTAAAGGCTAATATCAACGCATGGATATCAATATGTTCGGGCGACTCAACCAACGCATGATGCTGGATCAGCTGGGTTAGTGAGAATGCAGAAGCACGCCCAATATAGTTGGCGGAAAGTAACAGATCAGGGTTCCACTCGGGCTTGAAGTTAGGTAACACCCTCTCACCCTTTACGAATCGATCTTCGTCACCGTAAAGCAGCTTAGCCCCGCCATGTTGATGGCTGTGCGCAGCGAGATGGTAGATAGCATTGACGGCCAACGCGTCTCCTGCCACCAAAAAGGAAACATAGTCGAGCTGCGGTGACAGCGACGCCAGCCATGCATGGAATGACTCGCTCTCTGGTGGTTGGACCAATAGATGCTGAAGGAGCGAGTCATGTTCATTCAATCGCTGGTCAACCAACTGCGAGATAACGCCATTAGCGTACTGATCGGCGCTAATCAGTAAATACCAATGCGAATAACGCTGCGTTATAAGCGAATCCAAAGTAAGCGCTATGTCGTCTCTCGATGCACCCTCGGTCGATAGAATAATACCGAAGCAGGCATGCTCGGTTAACTTATCAATTGCAATAGCCACCCTATTGTCCGAAGGCTCCCGCAATGGCTCTATTTGCTCACGCCACAATGCATAATTGAAATTAGGCGCGCCGCGCGCGAAGGTGCCCTCATAATAGGCGGTCAGTAACCTTTTCCAGGACACATTCTCTTCTTTGCTTTCCTGCCTTAACGCCTCATAAATTTTCTGTACACCGGCACCCTGAAAGTGTCGGTCCGCATAATCCAAGCGTCTTAGCATTCTATTGTGTGCAAACCGCGGCGTTAGCCAAACAAAGCGGAAACGCTTTACCGAGAAACACCCTTCCTGGCCCGATAAAGGCTCTAAGCGAATCCCTTTTATGCCGCGCGGCACATGGCAAATCCGCTTGGCGACTCGGCCGCGCCGCACCGCAAAGTAGATGGTATGACGACGATCAAAGCCGTCACCTCTATCAAAGGTTACCCCGGCAGCAGCAGATGTTTGATCATGCTCGATCTCGATTTCCAGCATGTTGAAGCCAGGCAATGGAGAAGCTCCGCTGGCATGAAAGCATGCATGCTCCTCGCGCCCATACCAAACGAAGCTGTCTGCACGACTTACATGAGGCTCTTGCATAGTTTCCAACGCGATGGGATGGAGCCTAGGTTGAACAGTGAGCCTGAGTAAAGACGGTAAAGTGGAAGCAAAAAGCCGTTTAAGTATCATTAAAAATTAGTCGGCAGGAGGGGAAAGAATACGACGGCTTGCCGTTACTTTTTTACTTTCCCGAAAAATTTATGTTTCAGTTTAGCCCTAAGGCCAGAATCAACAGAGGACACTTGACCAACGGCAAGCGGAGTTTTATTTCCACCGATGCTAACTCCAATCGTTACCGAATCCATGAACACCTCTGAAGGTACATGTAGCGAAAACCCCATCTTACCCTCTTCCCAAGCGCTATCAATGTCCTCTTGTTTGTCTTTTTGTAAAAAAGTAAGAACATCCCTTCTTACCTTGGACAGAGGTATCTTTTCACTGAACTTTTCAGACTCCACATATATCATGATGTCACTCGGTGGCACGTCCTTTAGATATAACCATCCTGAGATTACATGCTTAAACTCTGACACCAGAATTTCATTATTGACGGGGCTGTCCAAATGCCAGTACAGCGTATGTTCTTTCGGCTCGGATAGGAGGGTGATACGAATTCGGTCGCCCTCTGCATCTGGGTCTGGGGGTGACGACAATGCTGTCGCATAATTTGCTGCTCGATCAACGGCACTCACCGCAGGCGACAAAGCATGCTCGTTACGCCAGTCCATGCAGATAGGGAAATACCCATGTCGAGAAAATGAATCAGCAACATCCGAACGAAATTCCTCAGGAATGTAGGAGTCAAGAATAAATTCATTACCGTGCTGAACGCTAATCCATAATTGTACTAACTCATCCACCAGCCCCGCTTCCAGAATTCGTCGCGCGACTTTATCCAAACCTGTTGTTGAATATCTGTCCTGAACGATGTGAACAAGCTTTTCGGGCGCTTCCTGATGCCCTCTGTAAATCCTGTTGTACAACGTATCCCCAGAGAGGACCGACATATTATTTTGCGCAAAAAGCTTGCGCCCAATAGTGGACTTACCCATCCCCGGATTCTGCATCAGCAGCACGACGTAAGGCTTCATTTTTCTGACGTGGACAACGTAGCGGGGAACCGGATCCCCTGATTGCTCTACGCTCTTACCGACAATCTTCCATGCATAGTCGTCCAGAACCGCTTCCAACTGCTTACGGGTAGGGAAATAACGTTCATCGATGGAGCGCTCGATCTTTTTCCAGGAAGCTTTAGGACCAGGCGCTATACCAATTTCTAATACAAGCAATCCTTCGTCTGACAGCATGCCAAGAAGCCGCTTGATCATTTCTTCCTGGTCATCAGCATAATGTAACGCCGACAACATTAAAATCAGATCGAAGGGGCCCTCAGGCAAGACTGACCAATCCTGCTGAATAAAATTAGCGTTAGGAAATCGTGTTTTAGCCTTTTCAATGGATCTTGCGGAGTAGTCAATCCCGGTCACACTCTGGGCACCATCAAACAGTGCAAAGCCACAGAAAAAACCCTCGTTGCAACCAACATCCAAAACACGCAACTTTTCCAATGAAGGGAGACGCAATGCCGATAATTTTGCGAAGGAATCCGAAGCGCCTTTAGTCTCACCAAATGTTTGATATTGCATATAAAGTCACTATATCGCGCTTAGAAAAAAGCCTTGCGTCGTCACAAGTGAAAACGTACCGAAAATAATATTTTACCCTACGTCACAAGGTCGCCATTTGGGAAAAAATGGTATTGATTCGTGCCCTATACTGCGCCCATCCAAACACGCTTGATGCGCGCTTCCGACCCGCATCACCATGTTGCCGAATTCGCTCTGGAAAACGAACGTATTCGGCAAGTGCTTGAGCGATAGCCCCTATATCCGAATACGGAACCAGCCTCCCGGTTTCTTGGTTGATAACCACCTCCGGAAGCGCCCCCCATGCATACCCTACGAAAGCCCTTGCAGCCGCCATGGCTTCCAACGCTGTTCTTCCGAAGGATTCCTGGAAACGGGAGAGGCTCAGTACTACCGCCGTACGCTGCATAATCAACGTAAGATCTTCGGTATACCCATGTAGCACAATCTGGCAGCGCGAGTTTTCAGACTCGCCCAATCGCTTGATCTGCTCCAACTCCGCAGACAGTGGTACATAAAGATTAAACACCACATCAACCTGTGCCGAGATCAAGGCACGGCATAGCGCGGGTAGGTCGCCCAATCCTTTATGCTGAGCACCACTGCCAATGATTGATACCGATAAAGGTTGTTCGGTCACCGGCAGTGGTATCTGGTATAGCGCGTCCATCGCGATGGTGTTGGGTGCCACCTCGATATTGGGGCAGGGTAGCGATTCGAGATACTTTTCGGTTTCGTGCGCAGTATATTGGGAGTTAGTGATGATGGTGTCACGCCAAGGGGCTGCATGTCGTACCAGCTCGCCAGCATCGGCATTCGCTGCGTGACGAATTGCATCAGTATATTCAGGAAGTTCATG